ACACTAGATTGCCCAAGGAAGTCATTTTGACTGGTTTTGGGCAAATGTACAAATAATAATGCATAAATTATTTTTTTTCCCAAGTGAAGTAAATTTTTTTTATTGTTAACATTTACTAATAACTTGTTATATGACTGTAAATAATATAAAAAATATTAAAAATTAATTTTAGACAAATTTCTTTACACATTATTCTTTCACAATGCAGTCATTTTGATTGCTTTTGGGCAATATAGGTATATACTAAGTTTCAGTCTTTCTAGTGTTAAGAATTGCGTTCGCACGCGTGTGGAATCTGAACCGCGCGGCAACACGCGTGAATAATTGAAAAACGAGGCTCGATGGTCCGCCCGCAGGCTGACCATTCTAATTAATCGTTTAATAATACATTCCGTTCGGCGGGTCGCTGCCCGTGGAATTTCGTCCCCGATGCTTCTCAGAAATTCATGCGATTGCCGGCTCGTGCGTCGACCGTATCCTAAGTACCCACGTAAACCGGACACGAACGACGCGGGGACCCGTGCACGAGCTTTCGGGCCGTCGACTTTCCACGGTTTCCCGCAGCAAAGAGCTTCTTTATGCGCCACGTAGAATTCCAGGGCGAGTCGGGGTTGCCCGACAGTTTCGGCAATTACACGTCTGCCTGAACCCTTTGCTTCATTTTAATGAGTTCCGTTTGTTTTACTCGTTCGACCTCGCAGACGTTCTTACTTATTTACGAGATCTCCTCAAAGAATTTTGCCTTTTGAAATAAACAATATCCAACGAGGATCTTGAGACGTTTAATAAAAAATTGTCACGTTCGGTCAAGGGTCCGTTTGCGAATCGTTAAAAAAAATTGAGGAACCTCGGGGCGAGTCGCCGGCTGCTCGATACGGCGTTCTGCTTTAATTGAATCGTCATGGCTAGACGTTACCGCGTTTTCTGGAAAATTGTCGTGGCGAAAAGTAGCTCGAGTGTGACCCGTGACTCGAACGATCGATCCTTCCACGACGAGGAACGGTCGCACGGACACCAACGATCGGATGATTTATTTATTTCGATCTCCCTCCAGACGATTTTACGGGAGAACGGGAATGGACGTCGTCGATGCATCGAGACGCTTTCGCAGATGTACAACTAGTAACAATGAAATTGAGCCAGCTACGTGCATGTGTTAGTTTCCCCTAGGAAGACAAAATTAAAAACGAGTAATAAGTCAACAACTTATTTTTTCGATGCTCGGTCTCGCATTGATATTGTTGGATTTTAACATAATTTTGACGCGTCAAAATAAAAATAATGTTAACGTACGCACATTACCACCACCTATATTAACACTAGATTGCCTAAGGAAGTCATTTTGACTGCTTTTGGGCCAATGTACAAATAANCTAACTAAAGTTAATGTTTAAGTATGCATTAACACGTAACGAAGATTTTTAAGTACATCCATCTACAGCTTGTGGCTATAAATATTTCCTCTATCAATGGCAGACTGTAAAAAATTGTTCCATTTTGCGTACTTAAAGATTAACTTTAGTTAGTAAAAAGAACGTAGTTTCTTGAAACAACTTTCAAACAGTCTGCCTTGTGAAATTTCGTCAACTTTAAGCTAACATTAGCCTAAATTGAGCTTGGCAGATTGTAAAAAATTGTTCTTAGACGATTGTTCTTATACGATTTAATTGCTAACTAACATAAGTACGCTTTATTCTTGTACTGGAGAAAACCATCTGCCAATAAGCTTTTCATGGATCGCTCAATCTTGCCTTGTGCTCAAATAAATGGCAGACTGTTTGAAAGTTGTTCCAAGAAACTACGTTCTTTTTGCTAACTAAAGTTAATGTTTAAGTATGCATTAACACGTAACGAAGATTTTTAAGTACATCTATCTACAGCTTGTGGCTATAAATATTTCCCCTATCAATGGCAGACTGTAAAAAATTGTTTCATTTTTTGTGTTACGAGCGCCCGGACTAGTACCTGGCTCAATTTCGTTGTTACTAGCTGTACGCGAAGATCTCAATATAAAGAACAAAATATCAGAGATAAGGATTTAATATTGTATCTTTTTAAATCAGATTTTTCAAAATGTGTAATTGGACCTTCTTGAGTCTGTTTAGGCTTTCGAAAACGAACAATGCGATCTAGTTTTATTAGCGAAAACACTGCACAAGCTCGCTTATGCATTTCCCCTTTCGTTTTGCCACGAAACAATGGAAGATCGAGATGCGAGTAGATTTAATCAAACCGAGTGTTTCCGGGTTTTAGGAAATAAACTGATCTGCGACTGCAAGCTGGCGTGGATCTGGGGCCTGAGGAACGAGACGAAGAACACCAAGCTGCGGGATTCTCTCGAGCAGCTCACTTGCTTCCTGGAGGGCAATAACACGGCGCTGAAGATCAACAACGAGGTCCTCGAATGGAACGAGCAGCAGCTCGAGATAGCACGAAACTCAGGTGAGTTCCCTACACGAGGCGACGCGCTTCTCTTGTTTTCCACTGTCCCACGACCACCCCTACTGTTCAACTTTCTCACCCAGATTTCCCTATCGAAGTTACTTCGCTCGTCAACCCCTCGGATCAACCAAGCCTTCCTACTTTTTTTTTTTAAACCATAAATACTAATAAAGTTCTCGTGTAATAATTACTGCGCGATTTACACGACGTTTCATTCAACGATTCGAGAAATATTTTATTAACGACGAGACGTAAACGCATTTTCGCTTCCATTGTGCATAGGATTTAAAGCAAGTCAGCTTTGAAACGCTGAGATTATCGCGAAGGGAAAGGACAACGGCCCGGCATTCACTGCTATGCAGTTTTCTCATTGTAACGAAAGAATAAGAATCGCCCTCCTACTGGGACATTGTCTGCTGGCTAATTAATAAGCTGGCTTCTTTCCTCGCGCCGTTTTTAAACCAATGGTCAGCTTGAATCGTTGTTGCCATTCGCTTATACGAAATTGTCTTTCCTGTGACAATTACAGAAATCTCCGATGGACAAACACAATGGAACTATTATCGAAATTTATGAATCATACTTCAGATTTTATGCATTCACAGGAAATTAACTGCATTTTATAATTCTTAAGGCATGAAAGGACTTCTTATTTTGTCGGCTTTTAAGCAAATTGTTCATTTGCTCGGCGAACTCGTTCAATTTTTAACGTAAAATCTCTGCCACAAGAAACCTGTTCCTGATATTTGAAGTAATGAACTTTTAGAAAAAATTATAATTACAGAGGGACAAGGTTTATG